TGCTGCCGCCGCCGCTGCTGTTGTTGGTTGGATTTGGCTTTGACTGTGCTTGCTTGCCTGCCTGTTTTTGCTTGATGTATGCGTGCAAGTAGTCTTCTCATTGGAAAAAAAGTACAACAAGACTGCAACAACAACAACAATTCACAATTTGCGTTCCAATTTTCCCTTTGTTAGAACTTGGCTGGCTGGCTGTCTCACTGGGTTCGTTCGATGGTTGGTAATGGTGGCTTTTAGTTTTTTTTTGCTGCAGCAATGACGACGACAACGATGATAACAACAAAAACAAAAAGAACACCACCATCATAGCATGCAAAGATAAATTCACATTTAAAAATGTTATAATTCTTGTTTTTTTTTATGTTTTTTTATCACAGAACACACAAACACAACTAATTGCATTAAATATAATTTTTCCTTCTTTTTTTGCATTGCAATTCCAAAATCACACAATTTTTTTCATTTCCTTCAAAAGGGAATTTTTCTTCGTTGCAATTTTTATTCTTCCACAAAGTGCATTGCTGCTTGCTAGACACCACCACCATTCACAAAATACATTTTTTCCAACTAAGAAAATTCCTCTTTAAAATAAATTCCAAACTATTTTTAAATACAAATTATGGTTTTCACAATCATATTTTTCGAAAACTTTTATTTTTTTATGTATTTTTATTTTTTTTTTTTTTTTTGCATTTTTATCCCTTCCACATATCTATATTTTTTCACAAATTTCCTTTTATAACTCCTCCATGCAGCAATGCAAAAATCATCATTTTTTTTCTTCTCCCACAGAAAAAGGGAATAATAAATTCTTTATATATTTTTTTCGTCGTTTTTATTTTGTTTTTAATTCAATTTATTTACTTTAAAACATTGCGGCACGTTTTCCACACAATTTTCTCAATAATTTCATTAATATTTATTTTATATTTTCTTCACATTTAATATTTTTCTCTTTAAGCTTTACTTGAACACTTGTTTTGGCCTTTTCGTCGTTAAAAAAACTTTTTTCCTCGTCGGCTGTTAATGAAGTAATGATTCTCCACACAGTGCTGATGTTTTGATTACTTGTCTCGGCAAAATATGACAAAGGCGCGCCAATTGTATTAGGGACGGCGTCAGGGTTCGTGAAAATGTAACAGAACAAAAGGGAATATAAGAGAAACGGTAATAGTTGGCATTCACAGTGCATTGATAACACATGGTATAAATGGGAAGCTTTTATGACGACGGAAATGTAGACTAGATAATTAAATATTTTAATATATTTAAAAAAATATAAGGGAAATAAAACTTAATAATGTATAAAGACACAATATCAAATAAATTAAGGTTTATATTAACACAAATAAAATACCTAAAATAAAAATTACGAAATTCAATTCTTTGCAACTACAGGGATAAAAAATCAAAACTTATCCACTCCGGCCAAACTTTTTACACCCTCCACGATGATGGCGGGTAACACTACCGCTGGAAATTTTTAAAAAGTTGCACAAAAAGTCGTTCATTTGAAAAAAGTCGCACAGTAAAGTACATTGGAACTCAAAAACGACGAAGACGAATCCAAAATAGTTTGAATTTACACAAAAAAATGAAAATACAATTTAACAAAAACAGGGAAGAAAAGTCGGACAAAGCTTAAAAAGTTGCAAACAGAGTTAAGTGGGAAACACATAGGATGATTCAGACCTGAGTCAAAACAGAATTTGAACGCACAACGGTTACCCTGATGGGAGGGATTCAAAATACCTAAAATTTTGTAGAGAACTATGTCTAAACATGCTTATACAGTGTAATTACCTACATCATTCGTCGAATAAAAAGTGACTAGGACCTTTAGCATGCCGAAAATGTGGCAGGATATTTTTTTGTGAAGACTATTGGTTTCGGTTGGTAAATTCGTCATTGAACGAGATCTTCATATGGATCATATCCCAAAACATGGATCGAAATTAAAACTGCTTCGATTGGAAATTTCGAGTTTCATAATTTTCATGTGGTGGCCAAGTTGAATTTTGTAATCTGAATATACACATTGGCTAAATCAAGTGGGATATTTTCTGGTAGCGTTTCTAATCATGGATCTAAATCTAATTTTTTTTTTTGCTTATTTTCCAGCCCTTTCAGTTCTTTAGTAGCTCTATATGATAACTTTGTTAAAATGTGGACTTATATCCGATTTTTTTCCGCCAAAGATTTTTTTGGTCCCTTAGAACAGTAAACACTAAATTACAGCCACTTCGTTTGGAAACTGTGTCTAGAGCCACTTAAGTAACTATAATGGAAAAGAGCCTTTATATGGGACCGTTTATCGAAAAACTACCACAAAATTAGGATTTTAGGATTATGGACCATGATATCAATCTCTAGACTGATTTCCTGTACGAGAAAATTTCCCTATTGAAAGAAGAATATTCGCAACACCGGAAAGCAGAGATGCGGCTACATCTGAATGTGCAGGTCTATGGGCTCATAACTCTGGCCACTAATTACCCCAAGAATCACATTCGAAGGCAATAGACCGGTCTTGTTGTACAGCAATAGACCGGTCTGTGGAAAACTATGTGGCTCCAGTGTGTTCCGATAACTTTATTTGAACACCATGGAGGAACATGAAACCCCGCCAGAATGTCAAACGTTAGGACAGCGATGCACGTGTACGTCAACATAATAAGACGCTGTTGATGCAATATCTGAATACAAATGCAACATAACCCTCCTCCACCTAGGGTAAATTTGAATGAACTAGAGATACGGGTCCAATGTATAAGAGATATAAAAGCCTATTAAAATCGTCTGAACCCGAATTATAAATGATACCGAAATATAGAGTAATTTGACTGATTGCTTTAAGGGGTGATACCAGCCCTGAGGTCTGATAGTATTCGAATTGGATCTATGTTTTGAGAAATGTTACAATCCGTAAATCGGCAACTCTAGGTAAGTTATCGTGAGGAAGGACATTTCAAAATCGCATCCAAATTATCTGAAACCGATCAAATTCAGTCTCATTTTAACCTATTAAAGTCAGTATGGATGAGGGAGTCCTTATAGTTGCCATGAAGGGAGTATTTATAGCCGCTATGAAGGGAGTTTTTATAGCCACCTTAAAGGGAGCTAGGGAGCCGAGCTGAAGAAAGTTTTTATAGACCAGCTGAACTGTAGGGTGTCTTTATAGACGAGATATAGGGAGTCTTTATAGACGAACTGTAGGGAGTCTTTATAGACGAGCTGTAGGCAGTCTTTATAGTCGAGCTGTAGGGCGTCTTTATAGATGAGCTGTAGGGAGTCTTTACAGACGAGCTGTATGGAGTCTTTATAGAGTCTTTATAGAGCTGAAGGGAGTCTTTATAGACGACCTGAAGGGATCCTTTATAGGCGAGTTAAAAGGAACATTTATAGACGACCTGAAAGGAGTCTCTATAGACGAACTGAAAGGAAGTTTTTATAGACGAACTGAAGAGAGTCTTATATACCAACTGAACGATGTCTTTATAGAAGGACTGAAGGGAGTCTTTACAGACGAGTCTTTATAGGTGGGCTGAACGGAGACGTGCGGAATGGAGTCTTTATAGACGAGCTGCAGGGTGTTTTTATTGTCCAGCTGAAGTAAATCTTCATAGGTGGGCTGAAGGGAGTCTTTATAGACCATCTGAGAGTAGTCTTTATAGACGAGTTGAAGGGAGTCTTTACTCCCCATTTTTCCCCAGGAATTTTGTTAACCATTTTAAGATAGAAAATGTGAAGTAAGTTGAAGAAATTATGAAAAATGCAACTCTGTAGTGCCTATTATTATATTTTTAATTTTAACTGTTATTTTAACCACATTTTATTTTCACGATTGCAATGCCTTTTCAAAATGTTTAATCTGGCAACAATTGCGTGTGTTATCATTCCACAGTGCACATTCTTCTTCTTCCACCCCAAAATATTGTTTGCAGCTGTCATTTTCTCATCATTCCTTCATTCTCGCATTTTCTTATCGGAATTTTTTCTATTCGGCGGCTTTCTACATTATTTTTTTTTGCTTCATTGGTTTGGTATTGAAAAACGAAATAATTTTTCCAATATTTTTCACTTTTATTTCCAACGAATAACGAGAAGAAACGATGTCCTATCAATTGTATCGTAATACCACATTGGGCAATACCCTGCAGGAGAGTTTGGATGAATTGATTCAGGTATGTTGGGGGAAAAATGCAAACACACAAGAGGAGCAACAAATTTACTTTAGTGCTGGGCTCCCATTCACCACCATATTAAATATTTAGAAGGAACTTTTGAATATTTTAAGCGAATTAGGGGGGAGGAGCTACGGATCCATATGGAGCACAGCACAAAAAGTAAATTTGTTGCCTATATTCAGAACTTTGTAATTGAGTTTTGTTTCATGTTTCAGTATGGCCAAATTACCCCCGCCTTGGCCTTTAAGGTCCTGCTGCAATTCGACAAATGCATCAACAATGCCCTCAGCCAGCGTGTCAAGGCCCGTGTCACCTTCAAGGCCAACAAACTGAACACCTATCGCTTTTGTGACAACGTCTGGACATTGATGTTGAACGAGGTTGAATTTCGAGAAGTCCATGAATTTGCCAAAGTGGACAAAGTGAAAATTGTGGCCTGTGATGGTAAAAGTGGCGAATTCAATTGAGAATTGTGGGTGGCCTTCTCGTTTAGAATCCTAGCAAGATTTCGTCTACTATAATTAATTGTTTATTGCATAATTACACAACAAAGACACAAGAAAACATAGTTGCAGTTTAGAATATTATATACTACTACGTACATACAATGATGATAAAAGGATTGTGGTTAGCTATATACAAACATACATACATTAACTAGAAAGGTAAATTTAAGTTTTGTGGAGTTATGGTTTTATAAGGAAAACAGAATCCGATTGGCTTGATAATGGACTATGGCATTAGAAATTTAATTACTAAAAAAATATTATGAAAAAGAAGATATTGATTTAAAAAAGAAAAACAAAACAAATACCATGTATTTAATATAAGATTTTTTTCTAAATAAAACAAATTTTAATTTATGTAGCATAATTGTACATAAGGATATGTATTTTATAACCTTGAAATATAAGAAACTAGTAGGGACTTGAAATAAGTCTTTATAGAAGACCAGAAGGAAATCATTGTAGACGATCAGAAGGGAGTCTTTATAGACGAGCTGAAGGTAGTCTTTATAGACGAGCTGAAGGGAGCCTTTATAGACGAGCTAAAGGGAGCCTTTGTAGACGAGCTGAAGGGAGTCTTTATAGACGAGCTGAAGGGAGTCTTTATAGACGAGCTGAAGGGAGTCTTTATGGACGAGCTGAAGGGAGTCTTTATAGACGACCTAAAGGGAGTCTTTATAGACGACCTAAAGGGAGTCTTTATAGGCGACCTAAAGGGAGTCTTTTTAGACGAGCTGAAGGGAGTCTTTTTAGACGAGCTGAAGGGAGTCTTTTTAGACGAGCTGAAGGGAGTCTTTTTAGACGAGCTGAAGGGAGTCTTTATAGGCGACCTAAAGGGAGTCTTTTTAGACGAGCTGAAGGGAGTCTTTATAGACGACCTAAAGGAGTCTTTATAGACGACCTAAAGGGAGTCTTTATAGACGACCTAAAGGGAGTCTTTATAGACGACCTAAAGGGAGTCTTTATAGACGACCTAAAGGGAGTCTTTATAGACGACCTAAAGGTAGTCTTTATAGACGACCTAAAGGGAGTCTTTTTAGACGACCTTTAGGGGGTCTTTATAGACGACCTAAAGGGAGTCTTTATAGACGACCTAATGGGAGCTTTTATAGACGAGCTGAAGGGAGTCTTTATAGACGAGCTAAAGGGAGCCATTGTAGACGACCACGCCTTATATAGGCCTTAAAAAATATTCTTTGAAAATCCACGCCCTATATAGGCTCCTTTTCAGCCGATTGATTGCTATTCTGACTTTATCTTGGCTAGGTGGTATACACTCTATACAGTCATCTATTATTGGTTCTGGGGTATCCACTTCACCGCCACTATTTGATACCAGAAATATTTCAAAATTCTCCTTCCTCAGCACGATGTCTGTATCTGTCACCAGGTTTCCTTCTTCATCTCTACAGGAGATGAGTAGCATTACGACACTCCTGATCGTACCACGGATTTCTTGCTGGTGGTCTTTAGTACCCAAGTGTTGCTTTTGCTGCAGTTTGTAGGGAGTGGGCAATTCTCTGCCATTGTGCAATATTATTATCGGGACAAGGGGTGCTTTCGTCATGCAGTTGGGTAAGTTGAGCGGAGTAGGCCTCGGCTACCTGTTTTGTTTGCAGCTTTTCGACATCGAGTTTCCGTGTTGTGTTAGATCGCACCTTTGCTGCAACATTAAGACGAGTGCGAACCTTGGCTGCTACATGGTAATGGTCCAAATCGATATTCGCTCCTCGGATCGACTGAACGTCTAATAGACTGGATGAATGCCTTCCGTCTATCACAACATGATCGATTTGTTTTCTCGTTGCTTGATCAGGAGAAATCCAAGTGGCCTTGTGTATATCGAGGTGCTTGAATCTGGTGCTGCTAACTACCATGTTTTTTGCTGCCGCGAAGTCAATCAACCTCAATTCGTTGTCTGATGTTTCTTAATGGAAGCTAAATTTTCCGATGGTGGGGCCAAAGATATTTTCCTTTCCGATTTTTGCATTAAAATCTCTTAGCAGAATTTTAATGTCATGGCCAGGGCAGCGATCATATGATGTTTCTAGGCGCTCGTAAAATATGTCTTTGGTCTGCTCATCTTTATCTTCGGTCGGGGCAAGGGCGCAAATGAGACTTATGTAGAAGAACTTCGCTTTATACGGATTAAAGCAATTCACTCACCATCTGGAGTGAATCTGGAGACGAGGTATTTAATTCTACGGTTAACCACAAATCATCAGCCAACTTCATGTCTCGTTTCATGGCAGCTATAATACAGGGCGTAATCATCTGTTTTACTTACGCCGCCAGTCCCTTTCCATCGCATTTCCTGAAAGGCAATAATATCGGCTTTGTATTTCTTGAGTATATCCGCCAAAGCGAACTCTGCGCCTGTTCTGTACAACGTGCGCACATTCCAAGTGCAGATTCGCAGATCATGGTCTTTTATACGTTTGCGGGGGTCGTCAAAATTAGGTGGGGTTGATTTTCTTTTCCTTTGCTTTTTCATAGTAGGAGGGGTTTTCCGAATGTGGGCACCTAACCCGACGCCTCAACCCATTTTTTTTATAGTTCTTGTGGGTGAAATCGCGACACATATTAGTTCACTATTTCATCGGGTTATGAAAATAGCTACCCCATGTGACACCGCGGGGAGGTCAGTGTCCACAATTGAGATGAAAGAGGGACCAAGATAAGCCTGGACTTAGCCATGTTAAAGCCAATCAGAGCCGTTGCTTGGTATCTATCATCCCCTACGCCACCTGCCTTCAAAAAATATTCTTTGAAAAATCCACGCCTTATATAGACCTTCAGAAAAATATTCTTTGAAAAATCCACGCCTTATATAGACCTTCAGAAAAATATTCTTTGAAAAATCCACGCCTTATATAGGCCTTCGAAAAAATATTCTTTAAAAAATCCACGCCTTATATAGGCCTTCGAAAAAATATTGTTTAAAAAATCCACGCTTTATATAGGCCTTCGAAAAAATATTCTTTGAAAAATCCACGCCTTATATAGGCCTTCGAAAAAATATTCTTTAAAAAATCCACGCCTAATATAGGCCTTCGAAAAAATATTCTTTAAAAAATCCGCGCCTTTTATAGGCCTTCGAATAAATATTCTTTAAAAAATCCACGCCTTATATAGGCCTTCGAAAAAATATTCTTTAAAAAATCCACGCCTTATATAGGCCTTCGAAAAAATATTCTTTAAAAAATCCACGACTTATATAGGCCTCTGAAAAAGTATTTCAAAAAAATTTACGGCTTGTGATAGGCCTCGAAAAAATGTTCCTGTAGAAAAATCAAGCCTTTGATAGGCCTTGGAAAAATACCATGCAAATAACACATGGAAATTTACAAATAACGTGTTCGTTATTTTGAATCATATCATCTATAATCTCAATGACGTCGATTTTCTTTACATATTCGTAATATTAAAGTGGTATTTCCAATAATAGTATTTCCAAATTACCAAACCGTAACGAATCCTAGTCTAAGCCAGTGTTCGCAAAAAAAAACGGTACACTATCGTAGTGTACCGTACCAGGAACACAAACACTAAAAAAAATTTAGCGTTAGTGTTCCGGTACACAAACATTAAAAAATATTTTAGTGTTACTGTTCCGGAGCACAACGAAATTCGTAGTGTACCGCTGTCGGAGCACTAAAAATCGTAGTGTACCGCGGTCGGAGCACTAAAAATCGTAGTGTACCGCGGTCGGAACACTAAAAAATTGTAGCGTACCGCGGTCGGAACACTAAAAATCGTAGTGTTCCATTTGGCGGAACACTAAAAATCGTAGTGATCCACTTGGCGGAACACTTAAAATTATAGTGTTCCATTTGTCGGAAAACAAAATGATGCATTTATCTTTTATTTTTGTATGAATAAAATTTATATTTTTATTGCTTTTCAATATATTTAACCAGTGAGCGGAGCAGTATAGTCGGACGTGGCCGACCATACGATACCCTACACAACTACCACGGAATTAAAATTTTCTGCGGATGTTTATTCCGAGTCTGGGCAATATTTGTACCCTCTTGCCCGATTAGATGTAAACAGCGCCTCTTCCTCACACTGGTCTATAGATCGACTCGAAAATAACACAAAAAAATTAAGTTTTCGGTCCAATTCATCCCAAAATTATTATCTGATCATCACGGAATTTATAGGCGTTGTCCTTGACCATAACTGGAACCTCATGGAACATTTCAAAGCCATCAGCGCTATAGCTCCCGTCTGTAGAGTGATAATGGGTTACAAAATAATATACGAATACGGAGATACCTGTAAACATTTAGGTGTAACTCCCACATCCGACCACATACAACAATATAATTGGTATTAATTTAAAGGTCAAGCACTCCTCTTGGATATAATATAAACTTTTCGGGTCTATGTCCTTCAGGGGTAAATATATACGCTATAGAATACAAATTTTGTCATTTTTCACACAAAAGTCAGGGTCAATTTGACCCGCTAAATATTGACCGATCTTTATCAAAACTGGCATGCTTATTCTTTGGCCCGATCCCCTTCTCCATGCAAAATTTCACGATGTTCGGGCCATAACTGCGGCCTCTGGAGCGACCAGAACAACCGACAAAAATTTAGTATTTGGTCCATTTCATCCCCTAAATATTAACCGATCTTTCCCAAAAACAATAGGGGTCTTCATTGGCCAGAACCCATCCTACATGCAAAATTTCGTGAAGATTGGTACATAACTGTGGCCTGTATCGTGTTTACAAATTATAATGGACAGACGGACGGACGGACACACATGTCTAGATCGACTCAGCTAGTCGAGATATGACGATCGGTATACTTAAAGGTGGGTCTAGGACCAATATTTCGCGGCGTTACAAACTTTTGGGGCTGCACAAAGCTATAATACCCTGACAACATAGTTGTGTAGGGTATAATAAATACAATATCTTTTTATACCCTACACAACTATGTTATCA